GCTGCTGCTGTTGCTGCTGCTGCTGTTGCTGCTGCTGCTGCTGCTGCTGTTGTTGTTGTTGTTGCTGCTGTTGCTGATGCTGCTGCTGTTGCTGTTGCTGGTGTTGCTGCTCATGCTGGTGTTGTTGCTGCTGCTGGTGTTGCTGCTCATGCTGGCGTTGTTGCTGCTGCTGGTCTTACTGTTGCTACTGCTGCTGCTGCAGCTAATGCTGCTGCTGGTTCTGCTGCTCATCTCTTTTTAATTAATTTAATTAATTTAATTTGTTTGTTTTGTTGGATTTAATTATTTTTTTAATGCAATTTTTTGTGATTGAAATAATTTATTTTATTTTATTTATTTTATTTTATTTATATTTATTTATATTTATATATTTATATTTATTTATATTTATTTATTTATCTTATTAGGTTGGATGCTGCTGCTTTCGCTCGCGCCTGCCGTATGGTGGCGTACGCACAGCAAGACCTCAACATACACCGCGCATGCGCACCAGGTGTGCTGCTGCTGCTGCTGCTATTGCTGCTGCTGCTGCCGTTGCTGCTGCTGCTGCTGCTGCTGTTGCTGCGGTTCGTTGTGGTTCTGCTGCTGGTGCTGGTTCTGCTGCTGTTCGTTTCACCGCTGCTGCTGCTGCTGCTGCTGCTTCTCGTACTGCAGTTGCTGCTGCTGCATCTGGAGGCGTTGACTCTGTGGCAGGAGCCGCAGTGTTTGCATTGTTGCTGCTGCTGCTGCTGCTGCTGCTGCTGCTGCTGCTGCTGCAGATGCTCCCCCTCCCCCTGCGCTCCCTAATTTTAGCGTCTCCTCCGCCTGGAGGTCTGCTGAGCCGCCCAGCCGTAAGGACACCCCACACCCCTCAAACTTGCTGCTGCTGTTGCTGCTGCTGTTGCTGCTGCTGCTGCTGCAGCTGTTGCTGCTGGTGCAGATGCTGTTGCTGCAGATGCTGCAGTGGAGGTTGCTGCAGATGCTGTTGCTGCTGCAATTGGTGCTGCTGCTGCTAATGGTGCTGCAGATGCAGCAGCAGCAGCAACAGCAGCGCTCTGAGTGAGAAAGAACGCCAGCTGATCGTCCGGAGCCACAGCAGCAGCAGCAGCAGCAGCAGTAGGATTGTGTGTATGTGTGTGTGCGCAGCATTCCTGTCCAGTGCTTCTGCTGCTGCTGCAGTATCGTATGCACCGTCAGCAGAAGAGCTGCAGCATTATGTGTCTCTCTTTACTGCAGCAGATACTGCTGGGAGGGGTTCTAGTCTCTTGTCTGGTGTTGAGCTGAAGCCGCTGCTTGCTGCTTCAGGGCTTCCTGCTGCTGATCTTGCTGCAGTTTGGGCAGCTGTTGATGCTGATGGAGACGGCTGCCTTTCTTGCTACGAATTTGCTGCTGCTATGTCTCTTGCTAATAAACGCAGACAAGGTGTACCTGTGCCGCTCTTGCTTCCGCAAGAGCTGCAGCCTCAGGTGCTGCAGCAGCAGCACAAGCGAATGCAGCAGCAGCAGCAGATGCAGCAGCAGCAGCAGCAGGCGCTTCCAGATTGGGGTTCAGGGTTCGATGCATTTGCAGATACAACAGATGCTACTGGTGCATCTGCAGCAGCAGCAGCAGCAGCAGATGCCGCAGCAGATGCAGCAGCAGAAGCAGATAGCAGCAGCAGCAGCACTGCAGCAGCAAACAAGGACAGCAGCAGACGCAAGGCACGTAGCGCCTCACCACGAAGCAGCAAAACGAGGGCACAGAGCAGCAGCAACGAAGGAACTGCAGCAGCAGGCAAGCGGGCCGGCCGCAGCAGCAGCAGCAAACGCCGCGAGCAGCGACACAAACAGCACCAGCAGCAGCAGCAGCAGCAGGATGATGATGGAGACAAAGAAGAGACAGGCTTCAGCGCCGCTTGGGGTGAAGAAGGTGAGTGGGCTTCATCAGAAGAAGATCTCTTCCGTAGCAGCAACGAAGAGCAGCAGCAGCAGCAGCAGCAGCAGAACGAGTTGCTGCAGCAGAAACTGCAGCAGCAACTGCAACACCACCGCAAACAGCAGCAGCAGCGCCACGGAAGCTATGAAGACCAAGAGCTCGAGGACAGCTTCTCTATTGACTTGCCTTCTCCGCTGCTGCAGCAGCAGCAGCTGCTGCAGC